GAGTAGAGAAACTGTAGAAAATAGAAAATGATTATTAATAATATATTATTTATTGCTTATATGAGTTAAACATTTGATCTTTATAATTCATTATTAAGCATATTAAGCCTTATATTTTAATCATTATCGATTTTTTCTATTTACTAAAATTCCTCTATTCCAAATTAGTTTTTTTTTCATTGACAGTTGGAATTTTCCTTTACACAGCTTTAACAAAAAATAAACAAAAAAACAGAATATATATATATATATATATATAAATAATATATCATTTATTATGTGATATAATAAAAGGCCAACTTAACGAGCTTATATGATATTAATTAAAAAAATTTTTTTATTAATTTACGTCATAATATACAAAAGATAAGATAAACGTTTCGACTGTACGACAGTCTTTTTCAATATCATGCTAATATGTCAAAAAATTAATTTAGTCATATTGACCTTATTATAAATACAACATTTATGAGATTATCATATGACGAACGCAGTACAAAATTCATGTTTGTTGGCTTGAGTTAGAGCGTCAGATTTATGTATGTCATGCTGTTATATTATGTAACGACACTGTGAACAAATTAATATATCCTCTCAAATATTACATTTTAGATTTTTAATAAATAGTATTAACTTACTTTTTTGTCACGAACATAACACTTTTTTTAAAAAATTATTTCTTTTTACATAACATAATCACAATGTGTACTTTTTTAAAAAACAAATCGATATCTGTATCTCACAATGTCGGCGCGCTGTATATATACCCAATTTTTAAGATGACGTAGACAATTTTTCTAGAATATCAAAATAAGAACCGTCAAGACGGTTCAATCCTAGATTCTACATCTTGCATGACAATATCCGCAATAATTGGAGATAAAGGCGATCCCATAGAAGTTCCATGTATTTGTTTATAGATCGTTTCGTTGAATGTGAAGTACGTTGAAGTCAAAATGAATTTAATTACATTAACAAACTCATTTTTGTCTATTGATGTGTGGTTTTCAATGTAATGCCATCTATTATTTATGCTGTCTATTGCAAGGTCCAAAGGAACATTTGTGAACAACGATATCACATCCAAAGATACGATTGTTTCATTATTATTTAATTTAAGATCAGACAATGCGTTGCACAATTCAAAACTATTATTAACATGACTTTTCCCTTTGGGTAAACTTGTCACTAAAATGTTGTGTAAATATGCAGCTAAATGATGTAGTGCTGTATTGACCGACGATACTATTACTCTGAATGGAACATTTTCCTTGTGAATTTTGGGCAAGCCATATGCTTTAGGAAGCACTGAATCACTGGAACTTAAACAATAATAGTCTTTTTTTGTGATCCATTTATTTTTTAACCATTGTTTTAAATTTTTATTAAGGTCTTTTTCTATTTTTATTATTGGATTGTTTTTGATTGTCATATAATTATCTTTGTCATTTAATAATTCTTCAACTTTGTCTATATATAATTCTTTGGTCATCGCTACGGTCGTGTTTCCCTTGTCTGCTCTTGTGAAAATGATGCTGGGATTTTGTTTACAAAATGTCATGGTTTTTTTATACGTAAAAGTAAGTTTGTCATTTATTATGTCTTTCCTAGTATTGTTGTTTAAAAAAACAAAGAACTGTGGAATAGCTATGTTTCTTATTGTCGTGAGATTAGTTATGTTATTCGAATTGCTTTCTATGTCTTTAATAAATTCATGGACAGCTGTTTTTTATCAGTATTAATGATATACTGATATAACCAAATAGATTGGTTTCAGAAAAAAACATTTTCGGGTAGAACACTCTCATATCATTCAAATCATCCTATATGCCACAAAAAAAAGTGTAATATATAATTTAGTAGACCGGTCAATATTATTATCACATCCCCGTTTTCATAGTAAAAATTTAACATTAATCATAGAGATTTTATTGAGCAATAGTTATCCTCTTGATCTCATTTTCTCAGAAATCAATAATAGACTGAAGTTCCTTATTGTTAATAGATTAAACAAAGAAATGACTCAAGATATAAATAACGAAATCATAAATAACGACAAAAATAAAAAATTCATAGCGATACCATATATTGAAAGAATCTCGGAACTAATAGCATCAGAATTAAAGAAATCAAATATAACAGTAGGATACAGATGTCTAAAGAAATTAAACAGAGTCATAAAAACGCAAAAAGACAGGGATAAGCTCCAAAATAATTCGGGGGTCATATATAAGATATCGTGTAATAATTGTGATGCTACATACATGGTTTGTCCGGAAAATAAGTGTACTGATTTTTTCCCGCCGCTCCAGGCGCGCCCAGCACCGCTCTGACGGGCTGGGAGTGAAGGGGGGTATGTTGACAAGCGACGCTGAAAACGGCAGCCGGCTCTGAGCTGTGGTGTAGTGAGGAGCTCCGTTAACGCGAACCTCTACGCTCGACCCACGTCACGGAACGCGATGCCGAAGTTTTTGGAGCAGCGTTATTCCATCAAATTTGCGGTAAAGCTTGGGAAATCGCCTACCGAAACTGTCGGTATGATTAACCAGGCTTACGGGGAGTCAGCCATGTCCAGAAACATGATCTTTCAGTGGCACAAGATGTTCGTGGAGGGCAGAGAAGAGGTCGACGACGAACCACGGCCTGGACGCCCATCAACGACACTCACCGACGAAAATGTGCAAAAAATTCGCGATAAACTGAACTCTGATCGTCGTCTTAGTGTTCGGATGATAGCAGAGGAGTGTAATATGCCAAAAACAATAGTGCACGAGATTATTAGGGACCAATTAGGCTTGCGTCTCACACCGCGCTTGTCGTGTCGGAGTTCTTGACCAAGCACGGCGTGGTAACGCTGCCGCACCCGCCCTACAGCCAGGACTTGGCACCACCGGACTTCTTTCTGTTCCCCAAGATAAAGAGAAGTTTGAAAGGAACGCGTTACGGGACTTTGGACGCCGTCAAAGAGGCCGTGACGACGTGTCTTCGAGAGGTCCCCGATGATGCCTTCGCGAGAGCGTTCCAGGAATGGGAACGCCGCTGGGACAAGTGTATCGATTCACAAGGGTCCTATTTTGAGGAATATTAGCTTAAAGTATGGAAAAGTACAATAAATTTTTTTCCCGAGCTCAGTACACTTATTTTCCGGACAAACCATGTATGTAGGACAGACGAAAAGACAATTAAGTACAAGAGTAAATGAACATAAAAATAATATTAGATTAGATTCTGCAAGGCACTCGGTGGTTTCTGATCATATTGTAAAATTTACACACAATTTCAATTGGAACGACACAAAAATCCTAGATTATGAAAAGAATTATTATAAAAGGTTGATATCAGAAATGATATATATTAAAGAAGATAACAACAGTATCAACCTAAAAAAGGACACCGAGCGTCTTGACGGTTCTTATTTTGATATTCTAAAAAAATTGTCTACGTCATCTTAAAAATTGGGTATATATACAGCGCGCCGACATTGTGAGATACAGATATCGATTTGTTTTTTAAAAAAGTACACATTGTGATTATGTTATATAAAAAGAAATAATTTTTTTAAAAAAATGTTATGTTCGTGACAAAAAAGTAAGTTAATACTATTTATTAAAAATCTAAAATGTAATATTTGAGCGGATATATTAATTGGTTCACAGTGTCGTTACATAATATAACAGCATGACATACATAAATCTGACGCTCTAACTCAAGCCAACAAACATGAATTTTGTACTGCGTTCGTCATATGATAATCTCATAAATGTTGTTGTTACGGATTCAATCGATTTCGTGACAGCATCGATAATCGAATCAATAATAACTCGCATAAAGCCAGAGAGGCAGCACCTCCCGGCAAGCGTATTTATGGCTATTGTTCTCACCAATCACGCAGAATACACGTGAGAAGTAGCAAGCCACGAAAACAAAATTCCTTTGGGTTTTTCGGCAGTAAAAGCGAAGTCAGTCGTTGAAAGTCTCTCCAAAAGTAAAGTCGACATAAGTAAGCGCTCTCTTCAATTGAAAATCATTATTAATCAAGTCGGATTAAATGATATAAATCAAAACCTAAGACTATTACTGTGTGCGAGTACTGAGTTACGCGGAGTGTTGTACATACAATTAGATTGCCGCGAATAGTCCGGCAATAAAAACGAGGCCTCGCGCTATCAAACAGGGCGCAACTCATTGTTTAAATACGAACTGTATAGTTCCTAATGATCACTCTCAATCAGCTCTCGGTTTACATGTCAGTGACCGTACATAAGTGTCTCACACTTAAGCAAGTTCACGTGTCAGTGAAATTACTCTCATGTTTTTCTTTTGCATAACGATTATTAAATCGTATGTAAGAACAATTAAAGGAAATTTAATATTTGTGTAGGAGGATATTTTGCGCATACAGATTAGCAGTGTCCTTCAAATCAAACATAGTCGACGAACAAACAAGTGCGAAAAAACATTCTATGTGTACGACGAACAAAGGTTATCGAAAATTCCTTCGAATTTCAGACTCGAAATTATGATCATGAATAACAAGCGTGATCGACGTATGCATACTCAGTGTATTATACTCGCATTGTTGTGAAGAGAATAATGAAATAACTTTGTTAACGATTTCATTTTTTTGTTTAACGTGTGCTATGTGAAGTAATAAATACTTTTGTTAATGTGTTAAACTTGAATGTTCAATGAATTTTTTTTTGATTCGGCACTGGCCTAACTTGCCATTTCCTTCGCGCACCAAATTCGGAGCGCGTCCACCCTACATCAAGATAGTTTAAATATCTCGTTCACATTGATTCATTTTGGTCCTTCGAGCCGGATGAAGGAGTGGCAGCGAATCAAGGTGTTCATTGAGTGTTTCGAAAACAAACTCTATTGACAGTCTAAGTGATAATCCAGTACATGTCGATTCAATTTTACTCTTATCGGCGATAGTGACCTCCCACGTGATACCATCTATAGCAGTTCAATAACAGTCAGTGAATTTTAGTGTCGAGATGGAATCGGCATTTGCGAATCAACAAACTGCATTCCACTTGATAGGGCGATCTCTCGCTAATTTCAAAAAATTCGGTCGTTCAAACTGGACGCCCGCAAAAATTCGCTCAAGATTAGCGAGTTTGCAAGAAACGTGGAATCAGTGCGTGCGCAATCACGCGATTCTTATTCAACTTGTTCCCGAAGAAGACCGAGATGAATTAGACTACTTCAAAGATGATCAATTTGCCGCTCATGAAGATATTTATCAGACAGCCAAGGACTTCATGAACGAGTGCCTCGAGGAAGTAGCTCCGGTCGTAAGTCACGATTCGTCAACCGACACTACATTTTCTCGAAGCGAACCCGCGTCTTTTTCGTTAAAGCATCTTCCACCAATTAAACTACCTCCGTTTTCCGGAAAATCCGACGAGTGGGAAACGTTTCGAGATCGATTTCAAGCGCTAATTATCGATAATCGAGACCTTTCAGAATTTAGTAAAATGCATTTTTTAGTATCGAGTCTCACCGGCAGTGCTCGCGACGCGATAGCCGGCATTAAAGTTATTGCAGATAACTTTCAAGTAGCATGGAAAGCATTAACAGTCAGATTTGAGAATAAACGCAGACTAATTGAGACTCATTTATCTACTTTATATCATCTTCCTAAAATGACGCGCGAGTCAGCTGTCGAGCTCCACGCATTGCGCGACAAAACCGAGCAAGTAATTTCTACGTTAAACCGTCTCGATCGGTCTTCGGACGATATAGTTAGTGATTTGCTAGTTTACTTTATATCACAAAAGTTCGATTCTGCGACGCGTAGAGCGTGGAAACTCAAAACGAGCGATAGCGATGATCCCCCAACTTATAAAGAATTAACACGTTTTCTATCATCGCGCGCTCTCGCTCTTGAAGAGCTTCATTCTTATGAAAGCGATAAATCGAAGTTACATTCGAAAGTGACGAGCGCAACAGCCACTGCGTCATTTGAATTGTCATGTTCGATGTGCAAGCAACAGCATATTTTCTCTAAATGTCCACAGTTTGTTTCAAAGAGTCCTCATCAGCGACGCGAGTTAGTGAAAAAATTCCGACGTTGCTTCAATTGTCTGAGCAAAAATCACTCGGTAAATGATTGTCAAAGCAAATTTACGTGTCGTTTTTGTAGTAAAAAACATCATACGATGATTCATCTGGAATCGGACTCCTTGCGACAAACCAATTCTAACGTATCAAATGCGCATAACGAGAACGAAAATGCGGCGAGCGTGGCAGCGCTTTCATCCATTACATTGACTACCGCTCCGACTCCGGTAGTCTTATCAACTGCCAAGGTAAACTTGCGTGCGCCTTCAGGCCGTTCGTTGACCGTCAGAGCCCTGCTTGACGGTGGATCGGAGCTCACTTTTATTTCAGAGCGAGTTGCACAAAATTTACGTCTAACGCGTATACGAACGTTTACGTCCACAACGGGAATCAGCTGCGTAAACACCGGAATTTGTCGCTCCGCAGCATTAATTTACATTACGCCTCGTGATAAACCCGAACCAATTTTTACTACCGTCGCCTACATTATGAAATCATTGACAAGATATGCTCCCAGAAGCGTTTCGAATTTGCATGAGTGGAAACACATTTCGAATCTCAAATTAGCCGATGATGATCCTACCGGATCAACGCAGATAGACCTCATAATCGGAGCTGACTTATACAATCAAGTACTCATTAATGTGCAGAATGGACCAGTCGGGCAACCAGGCGCCATACAATCACATTTTGGGTGGATCTTGTCAGGAACCACATCTGTTCCAAGTCATATCGAACAGAACACTTGCGTAGTTGGTTCAACCTTTATTTCATCGCTCGCGTCAAACAAAAATCAAGGTTCACGAGTTTCTAGATCAAATCAAAGATATCAAGTGGTCGCTCATCATTGTTCGTTAGAATATCAATTACGTAAATTTTGGGAGAGCGAAGAAACGCCTCAATTTAGACAACTCCCTCCCGAGGATAAGAGCTGTGAAGAGCACTTCCAGCGAACTCACTCGAGAACAGCAGATGGAAAATATATTGTGCGTCTTCCTTTTCGCGAAAACCTTCCAATTAAAATAGGCGAATCCCGAGAAATAGCGGCGCGTCGACTTTCTTCACTGATTCACAAACTTAAAAGTCAACCCTCTATTACTTCAGAGTATTGCGAATTCATGCGCGACTACGAAGATCTAGGGCATATGCAACCCGTTCCTCCCGTAGAAACTCATCACTCACAAGTCGTGTACATCCCGCATCATCCAGTTATCCGAGAGGCAAGCTCCACTACTCGTTTAAGGGTTGTCTTCGACGCGTCTTGCAAGACGACCAACGGAACTTCTCTCAACGACCACATGCTTAAAGGCCCTAAGTTGCAAACGGATTTACAGGCCGTTATATTGCGTTGGCGACAATATAAATTCGTCTATTCCGCGGATCTAGCCAAAATGTACAGGCAAATTCTCGTCGATCCGAGAGACCGAGACTATCAGCGCATATTGTGGATCGACAGTAACTCAAACATTCAAGAATATCAATTACTTACAGTCACTTACGGTACCGCTTCAGCTCCATTCCTTGCGCTCCGAGTAATTAATCAATTGAATGAAGACGAAGGTCCTTCTTTTCCGTTGGCTTCCGCCATTTTGCGCGATAACATCTACGTTGACGACGTACTATTCGGAGCAAATGACATTTCGCAGCTAAGACAAATTCGTAATCAACTTCGCGAATTATTAAACCGCGGCGGTTTCACCCTTCGAAAGTGGGCAAGTAACCAATCGGAGTTGTTAACAGATATCCTATCTGCTGATCACGGTCTAGCTTGCTCGAAGACTCTCGAATCCGACGATAACTTGAAGGTACTCGGCATCTCTTGGAATCCCTCGCATGACAGTTTTCAATTCCAAGTCAACCTTCCTAATACCTTTCCTATCACAAAGCGAACGATACTTTCAACAATAGCTAAGTTATTTGATCCTCTCGGATGGGTTACACCCGTCGTTCTTAAGGCAAAGTTAGTTATGCAACATTTGTGGCGACAAAAGATAGGTTGGGATGACCCCATTCCTAAAGAAATTCGGTCACATTGGAAATTAATTTACGATTCTCTTTCTCACATCACAGATATCAAATTGGGTAGATGGATAAACCGTGATTCAGACACAGCGAGTGTAGAATTACATGGATTTGCTGATGCATCAACCGTAGCTTTCGCCGCAGTAGTCTTTCTAAGAATAACCTCGCGTTCAGGACAAATCAAAGTCTCACTTCTTGCCGGACGATCTAAAGTCGCTCCCATTAAACTAATGAGCGTCCCTCGTCTTGAACTCTCAGCGGCAGTCATATTAGTTCGTTTGATTAATTTCATAAAAGAATCTCTTCATTTAACGAACGTTCCGATTCATTGTTGGACAGATTCCACCGTAGTTCTTGCTTGGTTGAACAAACACCCTTCAACCTGGAAAACTTTCATTTCTCATCGGGTGTCAGAAATCCAAACACAATTACCCGACGGTGCATGGCATCACGTAAGCACAACCGATAATCCCGCCGATTGCGCTTCGCGCGGATTACTCGGTTCCGAATTACATTCCCTTCGACTTTGGTGGCATGGGCCCTCCTGGTTAAGTCTCCCCGCAAACGACTGGCCTAAGTCTATCAAAGTAACCTCACAAGAAACTCAATTAGAATTAAAAGCTTGCAAAATTCATCAAGTCAACGCTCCTGATTTGTGGGACTTAGCTTCCCGCTATTCTTGGTGGCCGAAATTAGTGCGCGTCACTGCATATGTTTACCGATTTATAGATAATTGCCGAACAAAGCGACAAGAAAAGCATGACAATCATCTCAATTCTCACGCTCTCACAGCATCCGAATTCAATCGAGCTCGGAATTTTTGGATACAAACAGCTCAAGCTGCCGTGTTCGAGAGCGAACTTCACAAATTAAAACTTAATCAAGCAGTATCTATAAAATCTCGTATCTATTCATTAACTCCATTTCTTGACTCCACCGGTTTAATACGAGTCGGTGGACGACTTGAACATTCACAATTATCATTTGAATCCAAGCATCCACTCTTGTTAGCCGACCATCCAATTTCTACTATGATTATTTCATATACTCATATCGTTTCTCTTCATACCGGCATTCAAGCTACACTCTCAAAATTACGACAACAGTATTGGATTATCAAAGCTCGAAGTTTAGTCAAATCAATTATTTACAAGTGCGTTAAATGCACACGGGAGAAGGCTCAAGTAGCTAATCAAATGATGGGCCAACTTCCCAATAGTCGCGTATCAGCACCCACTCGGGCATTCTCGCACAGCGGTGTCGATTACGCTGGCCCCGTACTCACACGCGCATCAGCTGGTCGAGGAATCGCCTCTCGAAAATCTTATATAGCAATTTTTATTTGTCTAGCAACTCGTGCAATTCACTTGGAGCTAGTCAGCGAGTATTCTACTTCCACCTTTCTGAATGCATTTCAACGATTCTGCGCCAGGAGAGGTCTACCCGAAGTCATGTATTCTGACAATGGCACCACTTTCACAGGAGCCGATCGAGAATTAGCACAAGCCTTTCGAGATGCGCAACGCGATTCCAATTTTCTTAATCTTATCGCTTCAGACAACATACATTGGAAATTCATTCCCCCTCACGCGCCCCATTTCGGAGGGCTCTGGGAAGCTGGTGTCAAAAGCGTCAAATATCATCTTCGTCGCGTGTTAGGGTCACACACTTTAACTTTCGAAGAGTTCACAACTCTACTATGTCGAATTGAAGCTTGCTTAAACTCCAGGCCTCTCTCTCCACTCACTGATTCATTGGAAGATTACGAAATTCTCACCCCAGGTCATTTTCTTATCGGCTCAGCACTCACTACCAATCCCGAGCCTTCTATTCTGCACCTTAATGAAAATAGATTGTCGCGATGGCAGTTACTACGGCAGATAACGGAACGCTTTTGGAGGTTGTGGCAAACCGATTACATTAACACCCTTCAACAAAAAACAAAATGGCGTAAAGAAAAACCGTCAATTCAAATTGGTTCGTTGGTTTTAATTCAGAATCCGTTACTCCCTCCATGCAAATGGGAATTAGGACGTGTCATTCAATGTCATCCAGGCTCTGACGGATTAACGCGAGTTGTCTCAATCAAGACTGCAAGCTCAGAATATAAGCGACCGATCACGAAGATATGTTTACTTCCGATAGAAGTTAAGTCCAGCGAACAAGTCTCGAATCCCATCGCACTGTAAACCTACGTTTAGAGGCTCAGTATATATAAGATGCGTTCAATACAATAATTAATAAGTTTCGAAATTATAATTTCAAGGCGGGCGGTATGTTACGGATTCAATCGATTTCGTGACAGCATCGATAATCGAATCAATAATAACTCGCATGAAGCCAGAGAGGCAGCACCTCCCGGCAAGCGTATTTATGGCTATTGTTCTCACCAATCACGCAGAATACACGTGAGAAGTAGCAAGCCACGAAAACAAAATTCCTTTGGGTTTTTCGGCAGTAAAAGCGAAGTCAGTCGTTGAAAGTCTCTCCAAGAGTAAAGTCGACATAAGTAAGCGCTCTCTTCAATTGAAAATCATTATTAATCAAGTCGGATTAAATGATATAAATCAAAACCTAAGACTATTACTGTGTGCGAGTACTGAGTTACGCGGAGTGTTGTGCATACAATTAGATTGCCGCGAATAGTCCGGCAATAAAAACGAGGCCTCGCGCTATCAAACAGGGCGCAACTCATTGTTTAAATACGAACTGTATAGTTCCTAATGATCACTCTCAATCAGCTCTCGGTTCACATGTCAGTGACCGTACATAAGTGTCTCACACTTAAGCAAGTTCACGTGTCAGTGAAATTACTCTCATGTTTTTCTTTCGTATGACGATTATTAAATCGTATGTAAGAACAATTAAAGGAAATTTAATATTTGTGTAGGAGGATATTTTGCGCATACAGATTAGCAGTGTCCTTCAAATCAAACATAGTCGACGAACAAACAAGTGCGAAAAAACATTCTATGTGTACGACGAACAAAGGTTATCGAAAATTCCTTCGAATTTCAGACTCGAAATTATGATCATGAATAACAAGCGTGATCGACGTATGCATACTCAGTGTATTATACTCGCATTGTTGTGAAGAGAATAATGAAATAACTTTGTTAACGATTTCATTTTTTTGTTTAACGTGTGCTATGTGAAGTAATAAATACTTTTGTTAATGTGTTAAACTTGAATGTTCAATGAATTTTTTTTAAATGATAATCCTTAAGAGAGAGAATTTTTTTTTGATTCGGCACTGCCTAACTTGCCATTTCCTTCGCGCACCAAATTCGGAGCGCGTCCACCCTACATCAAGATAGTTTAAATATCTCGTTCAGATTGATTCAGTTGTATTTATAATAAGGTCAATATGACTAAATTAATTTTTTGACATATTAGCATGATATTGAAAAAGACTGTCGTACAGTCGAAACGTTTATCTTATCTTTTGTATATTATGACGTAAATTAATAAAAAATTTTTTTAATTAATATCATATAAGCTCGTTAAGTTGGCCTTTTATTATATCACATATTTTAATTGTATACGAGCCGAAGTTTAATTTATAAATATATATATATCATTTATTGCTTATATAGGCAATAAATAATATATATAATAATATATATATTATTTTTTGCACCGTTGTGGGCTATCGCGATAGAGAAGCGTTATTTTTATTTTAATTCGCCGAAATTTTATTATGTACATAATTTTAATCCTACATTTTCACTATGTATATAATTTTAATTCGCCGAATTTCCGTAATGTACATAATTTAATTCACCAAATTTCTATTATGTACAAAATTTTAATTCTCTTATTTCTATATATACACAATTTTTATTCGTGAATTTCTATTATGTTCATAATTTTAATTTGTCAAATTTCTATTATGTACATAGATTTTATTTCCGAATTTTATTACTTACATAATTTTAATTTGCAAACTATTATGTACATAATTTTAATTTATTAAATTTCTAATTTCTATTATTAGTACATAATTTTAATTCACCGTATTTTTTTTATCTAAATAATTTTGATTTAAAACAATTTCTATTATATAATTTTAATTTGTCGTATTTCTTTTATGTAAATAATGTTAATTCGCTGAATTTCTATATGTACATAATTTTATTCTTGAATTTTTATTGTGTACCTAATTTTAATTCTTGAATTTCCCTTATGTTTTAAATTTTTATTCGCCGAATTTTACTATGTACAATACAAAAGTATTCTAAATTTCTATTATGCGTTATAATTTCAATTTATCAAATTTTATTGTGTACATAAATTCGACTGGCCGAATTTCTATTAGGTACAATTTCAGTTATTTACATTATTAAGAGACGGTAGTGTCTCGCGTCCAGTTAACGGTTAAATACACACGAGAAAGAGAAAGGGGTTTAAATATTTAAAAAAATGTTTTCTCTTCTCTATATGTATATAAAATTATTTTCACATCCATAAAATTGCGTTTTTCTTGTATATATATGCTTCGTTTAGATTTCTGTAAAGACGTCATTTATAATAAATATATAATTAGGAGACGCGGTGGTAGTGTCTCCGGCCATGTTCAAACCCTAAAAGACCTTAAAAGACACTACAAGTCTCCTTATCCTGCACCATCAAAGTCCATTTTTTGGGGGTGTAGAACTACTAAAATATAAAAAATTTTGAATTGCACGTAATATAACCTGAAAGGCGGCATCGCCACGAGTAATTTGAGCCAAGAAGGAATAAAATCGGTCAAGCCGTTCTGGAGATACAAGCAGTCAAAAAGTGACGTTTTTCATGAAAAATGAAGTAACGTCGTCTTCTTCTTCTCCTTCTTCTCTGTCCGCGTCCGCTGACGTCATCAGGATTATAATATATAATATATATATAAATCTCTTCTCACCTTTCACTCACACCTCCCTCAACTTCCACCCACCCCTTTCCCTCCCACATACCGCCGCACCCATCCCCACCAACACTAATCCAACCCTCTTTTGCCCTACTCACCCTCTTTCGCCTCTTTCACCCTCTTTCGTCCTCTTTCGTCATCTTTCACCTTCTTTCGTCCTCTTTCACCATTTTCGTCTCTTTCACCCTCTTTCGTCCTCTCTCACCCTCTTTCATTCTCTCTCACCCTCTTTCACCCTCTTTCATTCCCTCTCACCCCTTTCGTCCTCTTTCACCCTCTTTCGTTCTCTCACCCTCTTTCGTCCTTTTCACCTTCTTTCGTCCTACCTCACCCTCTTTCGTCCTCTCTCCACCCTCTTTCGTCTCTTTTCACCTCTTTCATTCCCTCTCACCCTCTTTCGTCCTCTTTCACCCTCTTTCGTCCTCTTTCACCCTCTTTCATTCTTCTAACCCTCTTTCACCCTGTTCGTCTTTTTTCACTCTCTTTCATTCCCTCTCACCCTTTTCGTCCTCTTTCACCCTCTTTCGTCCTCTTTCACTCTCTTTCGTCCTCTCTTACCCTCTTTCATTCTTTCTCACCCTCTTTCACCCTCTTTCGTCCTCTTTAACCTTCTTTCACTTTCTTTCGTCCTCTCTCACCCTCTTTCATTCTTTCTCAACCTCTTTCGCCCTCTCTCTCATCTTCTTTCGACTTCTTTCACCTCTTTCGTCCTCTCTCACCCTCTTTCGCCCTCTCTCATCTTCTTTCGACCTCTTTCACACTCTTTCGTCCTCTCTCACCCTCTTTCGTCCTCTTTCACCCTCTTTCGTTCTCTCTCACCCTCTTTCGACCTCTTTCGTCCTCTTTCACCCTCTTTCGTCCTCTCTCACCCTCTCTCACCTCTTTCACCCTCGTACGTCCTTTCTCACCCTCTTTCGTTCTCTTTCACCCTCTTTCGCCTATCTCGTCTTCTCTTACCCTCATTCGTCCTCTCTCACCCTATCTCCAAAAAATCATAAAAATGAAAAGGTCAAGCCATGTTCAAAAGAAGGTCCTCAAAAATTTAAACCTAGTCTGTACAATGAAAAATAATTACTCGTAATTCCAGAGTTCCAATTTGTTAATATCGAATAATGTATTTGTTTCAAGTAATGGCAGTAGAGTCAAATACATACCTACGTATATGCAGTTTTTGCTGTTAATTGTACTTGAACGAAAAAAATAATTAAATGATTTAAATATAGCACATTTTAAATCAAAAAACTTATATAATCGAACTCTGTTTAGGAAAAGGTAGAACATTTCATTTGCCTCTGCCTTTACAAGAAACATTGGATAAGGTATGTCCTCCGGAAGATCCTATAAATTTGAATCACGAGTTGCACATTCTCGTTCGAGGTATACCCAAGAAATCTAAAGTGGTTTGGGAAAATTTGGTAGATATTAATAAAATGTATAAGGCTTTACAATGGTTGAAAGAAAATAATCCTCATTACTCAAAAATTCGTCTTCCAGCGTCATCTGATGATCTATTAAAGGATAAGTTGCAGGAAACAGAATATAGGATTGTCGATGAGGAAAGCGACAATGACGAAATAAATGAGGTGGTTGAGGAATTACCAGCATTGAATTTGTACAATGTACAGCAAAACAAAAATAATAATGATCAAACCGTTTTAAAACGTACGGCTTTTCTCACACAAATCACTGAACATTCGGATATTAACGATCAGTATACAATATACCCAATACACGCGAAAAGAATCGATAACGAATCTGCATTGAAGCTTTATCAAATGGTGAAAATTGAAGATTTTCCAATGGATAATCGTTATAAATATCTGGATGTCATGTGTTTCCCTGATTTATATCCTGATGGTGTCAATGGACAACGAGAAGATAGAAACTTTGCATTGCCGGAATATTTATTTATTAGAACACGATTGATGTCGAAACATAGTAGATTCAGGTTGAATCTGCAGTATCTGTTCTTCCTTCTCAATGATGCTAACTACCGACAGTTGAAAAGTGGTATCTATTATACGATGATGGTTACTAACCCACGAGAGAGATACACTGCTGGTAGATACTTGAACGAATTGAAAGGTTACCAATTAGAATCGAATTTAATGAGTATTTTCGCAAAATTGAGAAATACGGATCAATTTTGGCGACAACCGTCCAATAATGTAAAATGCATGACTTTGCATTACGGTCCAGCGACGTGGTTTTTGACTTTGAGTCCTAGTGAATGGAAATGGTCCGATTTGGGTGAATATTTACGAGATATGAATCCCGATAAAG